AAACAGCAGCCCACAGACTGGGAAAAGATCTTCACCAATCCTACATCTGACAGAGGGCTGATCTCCAAAATATACAAAGAACTCAAAAAAACTAGTCAACAAAACACCAAATAACCCTTTTTAAAAATGGGATACAGAACTGAATAGAGAACTCTCAATAGAGGAAATCAAAAAGGCTGAAAGACACTTAAGAAAGTGCTTAACATCCTTAGCCATCAGGGAAATGCAAATCAAAACAACTTTGAGATACCATCTTACTCCTGCCAGAATGGCTAAAATTAGAAACACCAATGACAACCTATGCTGGAGAGGATGTGGAGAAAGGGGAACACTCCTCCACTGCTGGTGGGAGTGCAAGCTTGTACAGCCATTTTGGAGATCAGTATGGCGGTTCCTCAGGAAAATGGGAATCAGTCTCAGTCTACCACAGGACCCAAAAATCCCCCTCTTAGGCATATACCCAAATGATCCACATCCATACAACAAAGACATGTGCTCAACTATGTTCATAGCAGGATTATTTGTAATAGCAAGAACATGGAAGCAACCTAGATGTCCCTTAATTGACGAAGGGATGAAGAAGATATGGCACATCTACACAATGGAATACTACTTAGCAGAAAAAAATAATGGAATCTTGAAATTTGCAGGCAAGTGGATGGAACTTGAAGAAACCATCCTGAATGAGGTATCCCAGTCACAAAAAGAGGAACATGGTATGTATTCACTCATATATGGATTTTGGACGTAGAGCAAAAGATCACTAGCCTATAATTGACACCGCCAGAGCAACTAGAATACAAGGAAGACTTGCTTTGGGTGTGGACAACCAGGACATTTAAAAAGGAACTGCTGTGGCTCCAGAAGTAGTACTCAGTTTCTTAAATGGTCAGATGATGAAGGACATACAGGTCTTTTTTGTTAAGCCTTTTGTGTTAAGCCATATCCCTGTTAATCTTTGGGGGAGAGATGTGCTTCAGGCCATGGGAGCGGTCCTTACTACTGAGCCTGTTAAAAATATGCTGGCTGACCAAGGTTATGTACAAGGGAAAGGACTTGTAAATTCCTACAAGGTGACCCTCAGTCCGTTGCATCTAAAAATTTAATTATCAAAAGAGCCGGAGATCGCTCTGGGTTGGGAAATTTTCCCTAGGGGCTATTGTTGTGCAGCCTGTTCCCATTCCTATCACCTGGAAAACTGATAACTCAGTATGGGTGGAGCAATGGCCCTTATCTATTGAGAAATTACAGGCTGCACATCAACTTGTAAAGGAACAATTAGAAGCATGACATATTGTTCCTTCCACTTCCCCATGAAATACTCCAATCTTTGTTATAAAGAAAAAATCTGGAAAATGGAGACTCCTACAAGATCTCTGAGCTGTTAATGATTGTATGCAAATTATGGGAGCCACACAACCTGCTTACCTTCCCCTGTGGGTATTCCTCAATGCTATCATTTATTAGACCTAAAAGATTGCTTTTTTAGCATTCCTTTACATCCTCAGGATAGTGAGTGATTTGCATTTAGCATTCCTTCTATTAATTTTAAAAAGCCTTATAAGAGATATCAATGGGTGGTGTTGCCTCAAGGAATGGCCAATAGTCCCACTATTTGTCAAATTTATGTATCTTTGGCCATTGCCCCCATTACGGAGAAATTTCAATCCCTGTATGTTATACATTATATGAATGATATTCTTTTAGCTGGCCCAGATTCTGAGGAAATGAACGAGGCTTTTGGGGAATTGCAGCATAATCTTCAACTAGCTGGCTTAAGAATAGCCCCAGAAAAGGCGAAACAAGAATTTCCCTATCAATACCTGGGTCATCAATTGTTATATTTTGGTATCAGTCTTCAAAAGATTTCATATATTGGCTCCCTTAGAGACTGCTGCTTATATAGCTCCAGTGTCTCGTGTACAAGAACATTTACTAGCCATACAAAGCCTACTATGGAGGCGCTCTCATCTGATTTTTGTAGGACAATCTCCAAGAGCATTCTGATTTGCCTGCCTTTAAGTGAAGGAAATGCCATTGCTGATTTTAATACTAAAACAGATAGCGCCGTCATGATGATGAGAGAGTCTGGTTATGAAGCAGCATGCAAAGCTCATACAACTTTCCACCTTAATGCAGGGTCACTTAAATTCCATTTTAAAATTACTAGAGACCAAGCTATTGATATAGTTAAGAATTGTCCCCTATGTGCAGAGTTCTTACCTGTTCCACACCTTGGAGTTAACCCCCGTGGTGTCACACCTAATGATATCTGGCAGATGGGTGTTGCCCATGTTCCTTCCTTTGGGTATCTGTGGATACCCATTCTCATCTCATATTTGCCTCTGCCCATACTGGAGAAAGGCTTAAGGATGTTAAGAGCCATTGTTTACAAGCTTTTGTTTATATGGGAATACCCAGATAATTAAAAACTGATAATGGCCCTGCTTATACTAGTCAGGGTTTTAACTCTTTTTGCAAAAATTTTTTTATCTCACAT